GCTTGATCCCTGGACTCTGGGATCATGACCTGAGCCGAAGGCAGACACAACCAACTGAGCCACCCAGGCGCCCCAAAATTATTGTTTTTATTAATGTAAACTAGCCCTCTTTTTTCCAATTTGATGCTTTTTTGCCTTCTATTTTACTTTTTCTAATTTGGGGGAACTCTCATTTGCCTAGTATATTTTTGCCCATCCCTTTATTTTTCATTAATCTGTAATTAAGTATGTCATTCATGAGGTGAGCGGGGGTGGGGGTGGGTTAAACACGTGATGGGCACTTGTGATGAGCAGCAGGCCTATGTAAGTGATGAATCACTAAATTCTATACCTGAAACTAATATTACAATGTATGTTAATTAGGTGGAACTTAAAAACTTGGGAGGAAAAAATAAGTATGCCACTTGTAATTGGCACAGAGTTAGATTTTACAGAGGAATTAGTCTCGAGAGTTTAACAAATTTACTGAATGTCTATTACTTGCCAGACACCTTTAATCCATTCAAATACATTGTAATAACAGATCTGTTTGGTTTACTCTGAGAGATATTTTAAAAAATATTAATCTTAAACCATCTTTTTTTTTAAAGATTCTATTTATTCATTTGAGACAGAGAGAGAGTACATGAGCAGGGGGAGAAGCAGGCTTCCCGCTGAGTCAAAAGCCTGATGTGGGACTCGATCCCAGGACCCCGGGACCACGACCCGAGCAGAAGGCAGACGCTCAACCATTTGAGCCACCCAGGTGCTCCCAGTCTTAAACCATCTTAAAAACCCTCCTCTGGTTCCTCCGGTGTCTGAGCAATCAAGTGAACTTGCATGCTATAAAAGGCTCTTTGTGACCTGTTCTTTGTTTTCCTTTCAGTCTCTTGTTATTTCTCAACCCGATATCCTATATCCACTTCAGCCCCACCTACACGCAGTTCTCCAAACTTAAACACACCTTTCACAAAAATCTGTTCTCTATACCCGAATTCTTTCCCTCTTCTATTCATTCATCAGGATTTAGCTCGAAGACCTATGGCCTTCCCTCCACATCACTGCTTTGTCCCTCTCTTCCAACTTTCAACTGCCAACAAAATAACCCTATTTGAATATCCCGCAGCCTTCTCAGATGCCATATGCCCCAAACTGAAACTCTCATCTCCCCACAAATGAGCTTGTTTTCCCTTGTTCCCTAACTCAGTAAACTAGGTACTACCCCACCCATCCTCTTGCTAAATTAAAATCACAAGCACCTGGGGTACCTGGGTGGCTCAGCTGTTAAGCATCTGCCTTCAGCTGAGGTTATGATCCCAGAGTCCTGGGATCGAGCCCCGCGTCAGGCTCCCTGCTCCGCGGGAAGCCTGCTTCTCCCTCTCCCACTCCCCCTGCTTGTGTTCCCTCTCTCGCTGTGTCTCTGTCAAATAAATAAATAAAATCTTTTAAAAAAAAAAATCACAAGCACTATATCTGGCTCAGACTCCTTAATTTCCACCAAGTCCTGCTAATTCTATTCATGAATTTCACTCAAATTCATCAGTGATTTCTATCCCTCCTGCCTCTACCTAGTTTGGCCACCAATGTCTGTCTAATCCGGATTACTGAAACCATTTCCTACTCACTTCCCTATACCTCCAATCTTAATTTCCCCTGCAACCCAATCTCCCCAATGCTCCTAGAATACTTATATCTAAACACAACTCTGAACATGTTATTCCTCTGCTTTTAAACTTTAGTGGATAAGGACAGGGATGGGTAACTCTGAAGATACAAGAACCCTCCACACCATGTCCTTAAAATAAATTCCAAACTCCTTAGGGCACCTAAGTGGCTCAGTTGGTTAAGCATCCAACTCTTAATTTCAGCTCAGGTCATGAGACTGAGCTCTGCTCCGCACTGGGTGTGGAGCTTACTTAACTCTCCCTCTCCCTCTGTCCCTCACCCCCATGTGGGATCAGTCTCTCTCTCTTAAAAAGAACAAAATTAGGGCACCTGGGTGGCTTCGTTGGTTAAGCATCTGCCTTCAGCTCAGGTCATGATCCCGTAGTTGCAGGATCAGGCTTACATAGGGCTCCCTGCTCTGCTTCTCCCTCTCCCTCTGCTCTTCCCCCCAACTCGTGCTCTCTCTCTCTCTCATTTACTCTCTCTCTCAAATAAAATCTAAAAAAATAAAAATAAAATCCAAACTCCTAAGTGGGCCTTATAAAGTACAAGCATAATCCTCCCCAGCCTTACCTCCTGTCATTTGTCCACAACATCTTAGACACACTCGGCTTTTCCAGTTCCTTTACTGCTCAGTGCTCTGCAGACTGCCCCCTCTGCCTGTAACACACTTCTATCTGGCTAACTCCTATTCATTCTTCACCACAACCAAGACCCACTTCTGTTTCAAATCATTCTCTAAAGTGCAGTCGCGGTCAGGTCTCCCTTCTATGTGATTCCACAGGTTCTGCCACACCAAAAGCTTGACCACTTATTTATGTGTCCACTTCCCCCACTAATGTGTGAACTCCAAATGCAGTAGTCACTGTCTTTCTTGTTTATTATGGCTTTCCTAAAACTTAGCACAAAATGGTTAATCAATAGGTATTTAAGTAATTAAGTACAATGATAGGTATACAGAAAAAACAAAGAATAACAAAACTGTAGCTGTCCTAACACTATATGGACTAAATAAAACATTCACATACATAATTATGGAACAAAGATTTAAGAACAATGGTAGAGATGATCTAAACAAAAAGAAATACTAACTCAATCTCGCTAAGGTTTTCTCCCAAAGTAAGGTGCTGAAAATAATTCTTTAGAGTATGCAAAGGAAATATTAGAACTCTTATTTAAATGTTTAATTTTTAGTTTGAATTATGTTTTTTAATGTGCTTAGTATTAACAGAGTCCCCTATACAAGCAGTGATATGGAACTATCCTCAACTTTGAACTGAGTAGACAAAAAAGCTTGGAAGCCATACTCTAGGGCATTTGATCTTAACCTCTGTGTATTGGGGGAGGAAGGGGGCCCAGATCTCTTTCAGTATCTGATGAAAACTAAAGATTATCTCCCAGAAAAATGAGTATAAATATACATGTATTTTAATGATTTTATTTATTTGACAGAGAGAGTGAGAGCCAGTGTGCACGCAGAGGGAGTGGGAGAGGGAGAAGCAGGCTCCCCACTGAGCAGGGAGCCTGACGTGGGGCTCGATCCCAGGACCCTGGGATCATGACCTGAGCCGAAGGCAGACGCTTAACCAACTGAGCCACCCAGGCACCCCTAAATACACATATTTTTCAGATTTTATGTGATTTCTAGGCTATCTTGCCCCTCAGGTTAAATCCTGCCCTAGGACCTCCATTTCTAAAGCCATAAGGAAACAGCTAGTAGGAAGAGGTCATCAAAATGCCTCAAGTCCTGTGATACTATTATTCCTTACCTTCCCTTTTCTCCACAATCCTGCTCCTCCTGTCCCTCACAGTTAAATCACTACATCTTTCCCCAGGAAGGCTTGGAATGTCCAGCCTATAATTCCCACAGAGTTTAGGAATGCAGTTAAAGATTTCCTTCTCAAAGGTGTAACACACACATCAGTTATTCCCACACCATTATCATATTTGCCATTTCCCAAAGCACTCATTATTTTCTTAATTTTTTTTAAAAGATTTTATTTATTTATTTGACAGAGAGAGAGACATAGCAAGAGAGGGAACACAAGCAGGGGGAGTGGGAGAGGGAGAAGCAGGCCTCCCAAGGAACAGGGAGCCCAATGCAGGGCTCAATCCCAAGACGCTGGGATCATGACCTGAGCTGAAGGCAGACGCTTAACGACTGAGCCACCCAGGCACTCCTATTTTCTTAATTTTTAAAAGCAACTTTTGAACTAAATTTAACTTTTTTAAAAAGATTTTATTTTTTTATTTATTTGAAAGCGAGACAGAGAAAGAGAGTGTGAGCAGGGGGAGGAGCAGAGGGAGAGGGACAAGCTGACCACACTAAGCACAGAGCCCAGTGCGGGGCTTGATCTCACATGACTTGAGCCAAAATCAACAGACACGTAACCAATGGAGCACCCAAGTGCCCCTTAACTAAACTTTAAATTTATCGACATCCCAGGGCGCCTGGGTGGTTTAGCTGGTTAAGCAGCAGCCTTTGGCTCAGGTCATAATGCCGGAGTGCCGGGATCGAGCCCCACATCGGGCACCTTGCTCAGGGGGGAGTCTGCTTTTCCCTCTGCCTCTGCTCCTCCCCACACGCCCCCCCCCCCCACTCGTGCTCTCATTCTCTCTCTCTCAAATTTAAAAAAAAAAAAAAATTTTTTTTTAATAAATTTATTGACATCCTAAGTAACAGTATCTATGAAATCAGTTTTGATGTCTGGTTATTATTTTCCTACCTACATCAAAGTAAAAACACACTTAAAACAAGGACTCTAATTTAAATAAAAAATAAATAAATAAAAATTAAAAATAAACAAAATAATCCTCACTAAAAATAAGCAAGTAAATAAAATAAGAACTCTAGGCCCTCATCAGCACGTTTTAGAGCACAATCCCAAGGTTTCTGCACTTACTCTGGGATCCCTATTAGGTAAGCAATAATTCGGACATCAAGTTTTCTTAAAGCCAGAAAGAAACTGAAAAGTATTTGGTCCAATCCTCTCATTTTGTAACTTGAAAAGATGAAACCCAGGAGTGCCTAGGTGGCTCAGTCAATTATCCGACTCTTCATTTCGGCTCAGGTCATGATCTCAGAGTTGTGAGATCAAGCCCCATGTAGGGCTTCTCACTGGGCGTGGAGACTACTTCAGATTCTCTCTCTCCCTCTCCTCCCCCCTCTCCCCGCACCAACACAAAGATGAAACCCAGACAGGTTAAGTGATTTGTCCAAGATCAGATGAGAAATTTCAGGAAATGTCTAGCATTGCATTCAGGTGTACTATCAGTCCAGTATGCTTTCCACTACCCTGTGTCCATTCAGATTATACTAGAATAATAGAGTATTAAGAATTCTTCATGTTACCTACCTCACTCTTCCATTCAGATTTATCTGAACATGCTGCTTAAAATCTGGATATTTGGTTGCCAGATATGCAAAGTCAGGAGGTTTGTCCTTGTATCTATTTCTTGCATGCATTGATTTACTCAGAGCCATCTTTAAAAAGAAAAAAAGGAAAGCATATTTAGTCAAAAAATACATTAATGGGAAAAAGCTGTGGTTGCCAAGTCAACAGTTATAGCCAATATATTTTTGCCAATCAACTGAGAAAGTAGAAATTATATTTTTCAAATGTACACAACAAATAAGCACATTAAAATATGCTTAACATCATCATGAGTCATTAGGGAAATGCAAATCAAAACCACAGTATCACTTCATACCCAGTAGGATGGCTATTATTAAAAAAGAAAAAAAAAGTTAAGAGAAGTGCTGGTGAGGATGTTAGGAAATTGGATCATTGCAGGTGGGAACGTATACAATGGCTGTGGAAACAGTTCAGCGGTTCTTAAAAACTTAAACATAGAATTACCACCATATGATCCAGCAATTCCACTCCTAGGTATACACCTAAGAGAACTGAAGAAGGGATTCAAACAGCATTTGCACATCAATGTTCACAGCAGCATTATTCACAACAGCCAAAAAAGTAGAAACAACCCCAAGTGTCCATAAATGGATAAAGAAAATGTGGTACATACATATAATGCAGTGTCCTTCAGCCAAAAAAAGGAATAAAATTCTGATACATCCTACAACATGGATGAACCTTAAAAACATTATGCTGGGACACTTGGGTGGCTCAGTCGGTTAAGCATCTGCCTTCAGCTCAGGTCATGATCCCAGCGTCCTTGGATCAGGTCCCACAATGGGTTCCCTGCTCAGCAGAGAGTCTGCTTCTCCCTCTCACTCTCCCTCTCTTTCTCAAATAAATAAATAAAATATTAAAAAAACACATTATGCTAAGGAAAATAAGCCATATTCAAAAGGACAACTGTTGTATTTTCCCACTCATAGTAAATACCAAGAATAGGCAAATTCATAAAGAGAGTAGAATAGAGGTTACCAGGGTTTGGGGAGGAGGTATGAATGTTGAGTTATTATTTAATGGGTTTCTGTTTAGGATGATGAAAAACTTCTAGAAATGGACAGTGGTGATGGTTATACAACAGTGTGAATGTACTTAATGCCACTGAACAGTACACTTAAAAATGCTTAAAATGGTAAATTTTATGTTATGTATATTTTATCACAGCTTGAAATGCGTACGCAACATATGTGTTTTTTTTAAACCATGAAAACTGGAAACTATTCTTTTGAAAGCATCAAAGGGGCAGAAGGCAGTATAATCTATAGCCAAGAACTAATAGCCAGAGGTTAGTTTTTATAGGGGTCTTGTATGGACTGAATACTTGGTAGCACATCATAAAGTCACTGTTTCAAAATATATCTTCTATTTTATAAATTTCAGTCTTGTCATTCCTAGGTAGCTAAAACCAAATGAAAACAATTTTGTCTCCTTCCAGAGTACAAAAAAAAAAATTAACACATTTATAGCAAGATATAAAACTGAAGAAAAGCCATTGATTGTAGTGTTTTGTTTTGTTTTTTTAAGATTTTATTTATCCACTTGAGAGAGCAAGAAAGAGTGAGCACGAGCAGGGTGGGGACAGAGGGAGAAGCAGGCTCGATGCAGGGCTCGATCCAGGGACTCCGGGATCACGACCTGAGCCAAAGGCAGACACCCAACTGACAGAACCACCCGGGCGCCCTGATTGTAGTGGCTTAGTAAGTTATACAGTTGGTAATTTTAAAAATTATTTTAGTGCATATCTCTGGGTGGCAAGTGATTTGTATTTTCTTCGTTATATCATTCTGTATTTTCCACTGTTTTTTCTAAGGTGCATTCATCTAAACAGTGTTATGTAAGCCAGAATCGTAGGCATCACCGGATAGTTCTATACCCCTCATACCCCCAAGAAATCAACAGTCATGTGGATTTTACCTGCTAAATACCTCTCAAATCCATCTGTTTTTCCCTATCTCCACCAATATCAGCCCAGTACAAGTCACCTGGATTTATAACAGCCTCTTACTTGGTCACACTGACTCCACTCTTACTCGCTCACATTTCCTTTTTCCACCTTGCAGAGATCATCTCCTAAACACAAATCTCACTATGTCTTCCTTCTCCTATGCCCACTTGCTCAAAATTTTACTTAGGATTAAAAACAAAAATCATTACTTCAGCATACATATAAGGGCCAGCATGGTGTGGCTTTAACTATTTTTTCACCATCAGATTAAGCCATACCTCCCATTGCTCTTCTTTCTGTCCCTCCACTCTGGCAATTGGGTCTTTACAGTTTATTCCCTTTGTAATGTTTTTTCCTCCTCCTTTTCACCTGATGAATTCCTACTCATCCTTACTCAATTCAAGCATCTCTTCTTCAGGTAAGTTTTTCCTTCCCTAATGCCCCTGGTTAAGTCATATCCCCTATTATAAAGTCTACTAGCAACAAGCACCCTTCCTTTGTAGGTTTTATTAGAGATATAACTTTACATAGTAATAGATTTGCTAACACTCTACTTCAGAAGGATTTTTTGACAGCTTTCTACATTGAAAAAATTTTTTAATTTTTTAATTCAAGTATAATTAACATAGTGTTATATTAGTTTCAGTATACGATATAATGGTTCAACAATTCTATATATTCTTCAGTGCTCATCAAGATAAGTGTACTCTTAATCCCCTTTATTTCACCCATCCCCCCCACCCACCTCCCCTCTGGCAACCACCAGTTTGTTCTCCGCATTTAAGAGTCTGTTTTTTGGGGGCGCCTGGGTGGCTCAGTCATTAAGCATCTGCCTTCAGCTCAGGTCATGATCCCAGCGTCCTGAGATCAAGCCCCACATCGGGCTCCCTGCTCAGCGGCCTGCTTCTCCCTCTCCCACTCCCCCTGCCTGTGTTCCTGCTCTCACTCTCTCTGTCAAATAAATAAGTAAAATCTTAAAAAAAAAAAAGTGTTTTTTTGCTGGTGTCCCTTTTTTGTGTTTTTTTAAATTCCACATGAGTGAAATCATAGGGTATTTGTCTTTCTTTGACTTATTTCACTTAGCATTATACCCTCTAGGTCCATCCATGTTGCTGCAAACGGCAAGACTGCATTCTTTTTGATGGCTGAGTAATATTCCATTGTGTATATACATACTTTTTTTTTTCCAATTTAGTTAACATATAGTGTACTATTAGTTTCACGGGTAGAATTTAGTGACTCATCAGTTATACATTAACATCTCATTATATCCAGTGCCCTCCTTAATACCCATCACCCAATTACCCCATCCTCCCACGCACTCCCCACCAGCAACTCTGTTTATTCCCTATAGTTAAGAGTCTCTTATGGTTTGCCTCCCTCTCTGTTTTTATCTTATTTTTCCTTCCCTTCCCCTATGTTCATCTGTTTTGTTTCTTAAATTCCACATGAGTGAAATCATATGGTATATGTCTTTTTCTATACCTTTTTCATCCATTCATCTATTGATAGACATTTGGGTTGCTTCCTTATCTTTGCTCTTGTATACAATGCTGCCATAAATATAGGGGTGCATGTATCATTTTGAATTAGTGTTTTTATTTTCTTTAGGTAAATACCCAGTGGTAGAATTACTGGATTAGATGGTAATTCTTTTTTCATTTTTGGGCTTGAACTCAGAACCCTGAGATCAAGACGTGAGTTGAGTCAGACACTTAACCAACTAAGCCACCCAGGTACCCCAAATGGTAATTCTATTTTTTTTTAATTTTATTTATTTGAGAGAGAGAGCATGAGAGGGGGGAGGGTCAGAGGGAGAAGCAGACTCCCTGCTGAGCAGGGAGCTAGATGCAGGATTCAATCCTGAGACTCCAGGATCATGACCTGAGCTGAAGGCAGTTGCTTACCCAACTGAGCCACCCAGGTGCCTGGTAATTCTATTTTTAATTTTTTGAGGAACCTCTGTACTGTTTTCCACAGTGGCTGCACCAATTTGCATTCCAACCAATAGTGCAGGAACATTTCTTTTTCTCCACATCCCTGCCAACACTTGTTATTTACTGTGTTTTTGATTTTAGCCATCCTGACAGGCATGAGGTGATATCTCATTATGGCTTTGATTTTAATTTCTCTGATGATCAGTGATGTTAAGCATCTTTTCACGTGTCTGTTGGCCATCCGTTTGTCTTCTTTGGAAAAATGTCTATTCGGGTCCTCTGCCGATTTTCTTTTTTTTTTAAAGATTTTATTTATTTATTTGACAGAGACAGCGAGAGAGAGAACACAAGCAGGGGGAGTGGGAGAGGGAGAAACAGGCTTCCAGGGAGCCCAATGCGGGGCTCGATCCCAGGACCCTGGGATCATGACCTGAGCTGAAGGCAGACGCTTAACGACTGAGCCACCCAGGTGCCCCTGCCCATTTTCTAATTGGATTATTTGGGCTTTTTGGTGTTGAGTTGTATAAGTTTTTTATGTATTTTGGATACTGACCTCTTACTGGATATGTCATTTGCAAATATCAACCTCTACACTGAAAATTTAACAACCATTTTCAAAAAAGAGCTGTCTTCATCGTGGACCTTTCCAAATCATATATCCAACTGCCTACCCAACTTGTCACTTGAATGGCTCAGAAGTACTTCATGTACAATGTCCAAAATTAAGTCATCTCTACCCACCTCAAACTGGTCCTTTTCTAATCATCCCTTTTTCGCCAAATAACATCACTACCTTTCTTGTGGTGCTCAGGCCAGAAATCTTTAGCATCTTCTCCACCCCATCTCCCCCATTCCAAACACACCATGTCCTGAATATTCTCTACCTTCTAATTATTTCTTGACCCTACCCATTTCTGTCACAACTCCACAACTCTACCCCCAGATCATTACCATCTCCCTTGGATTACTATAATAGCCTCTAACTGATCTCTCTATAATCACTCTTGCCTTTGCCATCCACTTTTCACCTAACAGACAGGTCTTCCCTCCCTCCCTCCATGCAAATCTGGAGTCCTTGCTAAATCCCTTCAGTGGCTTCCTAAAGCTATTAGGCTTATAATGTCCAAAATCATTAACAAGGCATACATAATCTAGACTTGCCTATCCCTCCAACCTTATTTGTTGCCACTATGCTCCAGACACACTTGTCTTTTCATTTTCTCTGCTGTATAATGATCTGTCCCACCATCTGTTATTCTTACTGCCTAAGAGGTTCTCTTCACTCTCCTACCATCCATTCTCCTTGTGAAGGCCCACTAGTCCTTCAAATCACACCCTAAGCATCATTTTCTCAGGTAGACTTTCTCTGACACCACATATCCAATCAGATGCCCGCTCTATATACTTTCAAAGCATTCTATGCTTTCCCTCAAAGCTCTTAGTTTACATGTCTGTCCTGTCCTCCACCCCACCTTCCAGGCTGCAACCATGTCCATCCTTTTCTTCACTGTATCCTCCAGCAACTGACATACAATAAATACTCGAGTGAATAACTCAGAATTTAGGGGAATTAATAGTCACCTGGAAGTTTTTCAGCATACTAAGCTACCACCTTTTGCCCCTAACATTATCACAGAAACTCACTATATACAAGTTGCAATTTCCTAACATTAACATACCCTTTACAGACTATCAAAAAAGAGGGGAGCATTGGGCACCTGGGTGGCTCGGTTGGTTAAGCGACTGCCTTCGGCTCAGGTCATGATCCTGGAGTCCCGGGATCGAGTCCCACATCGGGCTCCCTGCTCAGCAGGGAGTCTGCTTCTCCCTCTGACCCTCTTCCCTCTCGTGCTCTCTATCTCTCATTCTCTCTCTCTCAAATAAATAAATAAATCTTTTTAAAAAATTCTGTGTAGTGTGCCTGGGTGGCTCAGTTGATTGTGTCTGCCTTCAGCTCAGGTCATGATCCTGGAGTCCCGGGATCGAGTCCCGCATCGGGCTCCCTGCTCGGCAGGGAGTCTGCTTCTCCCTCTGACCCTCTTCCCTTTCATGCTCTCTGTCTCTTCATTCTCTCTCTCTCAAATAAATAAATAAAATCTTTAAAAAAAAAAAATCTAGGGGCGCCTGGGTGGCTCGGTTGGTTAAGCGACTGCCTTCGGCTCAGGTCATGATCCTGGAGTCCCGGGATCGAGTCCCGCATCGGGCTCCCTGCTCGGCAGGGAGTCTGCTTCTCCCTCTGACCCTCTTCCCTTTCATGCTCTCTGTCTCTCATTCTCTCTCTCAAATAAATAAATAAAATCTTAAAAAAAGTTTAAAAGGAAAATGTTTTCCTTTCTTGTGGTTCTGGCAAGCAACAACAACAAAAAAAGTATTCTAACAGTAATTTCAAAAGACACTGGTATGTTAGAGCTCTGCAACACATTAAGATTCTAAAGACTGCACAGATGACATCAGTGTACACACATGACACTTTGAACATATATGGAACAAATTAAATTACAGATACGGCAGGTTCAATTTATATCCTACATTAATCAAACTTTCTGGTCAGAACAGATAGAGTCAATAAAGCCACTTTTTTGCTAACCAACCTCCTAAAGGCAAAGGGATCTTAGCTAAATCTATCCTATTTCTCAGAATTTAACCCAGTGTTAACTCTTACCTGGCATTAACACTGTCACTCCCCCTTCTCTCTAGCCTATTTTTCTCTTCCTGGCTCATTCTTATCTAGCCACATTCGTCTCCTTGGTTTTTGGGGTGTTTTTTGTTTGTTTGTTTGTTTGTTTGTTTTTAACCAAATGTGGCACACTCCCGCATCAGGGATTTTGTACTTGGTCGGTATGGACTGCTCTTCCCCCAGAAATACATACGTACAAGGTACTCTCGCCTTGTTCAGGCCTTTGATAAAACCTCACCTTCTCACTGCCTTCCCCCCCGCCTCTTTTTAAAGTAAGCCCTACACTCAACTTGGGGCTTGAACTCACTACCCCGAGATCAAGGGCAGCACGCTCTATGGACTGAGCCAGCCAGGCACCCCTGATGCCTTTTCTTAGTGCAATGAGTGAACACTTACATGTGCAGTGAGTGAACACACTCCTCTCCCTTAACACTTTCAAAGTCTTCAACACAGAACTTACCCATCTGACATTCCATATACAGCACTTACTTACTTTTTAAAATCTGCCCTGCCAGTTAAGTTTCATGAGGGAAAATATTTTGTCTATCTTGTTCACTGCAATATCCCACTGCCTAAATTAGGGCCTGGCAGAGTTACCACTCATATTTACTGAAAACATGATGGAACTCTTTTCACTGTCCCAAGCCACTGAAACACAGCACTCTCGTTTTTTGTAAAGAGTCCTCATCTTGACACTCAAAAAGGATCAGCCCTACTTAGGGCTGGAGCTTTTTCTTCTGGGTTATCCAAATCAATCCTGAAAGCCAAAGCAGTACACCCTTGAAGCTGACGCTTCGACTTTCTTTGAACTTTGCCATCTCCATGGTCTACTGTTTCCTTGGTTTCTCCTGACCCTTAATAATACTCTTCAACTACCGTTTATCTTAACATTCAAAAGACTCTAAATTCCGCTTCGAATTCTAATTTCCGCTTCTAACTTTGAATTCCTTCTGCACAGATCTCTCCCAGTTCAACCCCAATCTCCGTTTTCTCTCGCCTTCCTTCATAAATCCGACTTTTTCCTCTAGTTCCGCCAGTGCCATTTCTCCTCTCCTCCACTCCTCCCACACGCTCATCTTATCCACTCAGTCTTCCCGCATCAGTTTCGCATCTCTCTAAACCTCCTCAGCCCCTGGGGTCTTTCATACTTCAATCCTAGTCTCCATTCTAGGCGCCAACTCCTCCCATCTATCCCACCACCATTATCCTCCTCCACGTGCGCGCGCGCACACAACATACCCACCCACCCAGCCCATTCACTCACCCATGTGGTGTCTCCCTAGACCGCAAGCCAGCACCTCACCAGTACAGAACCCGCGCGCACCACACGCACGCACATACACAGACACAAAGCCACCCATCACGTCTGTCTCCCTAGGCCCCAAGTCAGCCACTCACCAGCCCAGAACCCAAGAATAAGGAACTTGGGCCATACATAGGTTAAATGACCTCTCGACCCGCCCGACAGTTGATAAACGACTCACATCTGAAGTCAAAGTTTCTTCCAGATGACCGGTTTGGATTAGGCCTCTATAACTCCAGAGTCTTAAGCCACCCGCAGAGCGAAGCGCCTAGAAACGCAGATGTTACGCTTCTAGCGCGCCGCCATGTTGGGCAAGCATCCAGCCTCGTGATTGGACGAAGCACTCTCGCGCGACCCGTAGCAGAGTGTGAAGAAAGAAAATCCCTCGCGAGACCTGGAGTTTGCCGCTCCTGACCCAAGGAAGGGGCGTGGTAGCAAGCGGAGTCTTTTGCGTGAGGACACCTGCGTTAGAATTTGTTTGGGACCTTGTTTGTTTTATAATGTAGGTTTTAAAAAATGAAGATGTAGCTTTCTGGGTCCCACTTCAGACTTACTGAATCACACTCTCTGGGGTTAGGCGGGAATATGAGGATGGCGGGGAGCTTTAGGATTTGATGGCGGGCAGCGTTTTTTCTGCAACAGGTCTCTTGCTTCATGTGTTGTCTCATTTAATCATCACAGATAAACCTGTGATACGAGAAGGAGTAATCTCATTTACAGAGGAAAAACTGGGGATCAGAAATATTAAGTAATTTGTTCAAGATCTTACACCCAGAGGACATCAAATCCATGTTCTTTTTGTTTCCTCGCCTGCCTCTTGAGCTGGAAACTCTATTAAATGCTTTTCGTTTTTCTTTTCAACTCGGTTATACTAATTTTTACTCTCTGGCCAGTAGAGTGAGCATTAGTCTCATTTCACAATTGAGACAAAAAGGTAAATCACTTTCAAAAGATACAGTTAAGGCTAGGACTAAAGTCAGCCTCTGGACCCCCACCTAGTAACTCCATTAAAGCTTTCCAGTGTCCCAGTAATTAATGCGAAAGCTTCTGGCAAAGCATTGCTATAAAATTGAGAGATAAAGGGTAAGAAATGAAGATTTAAGTTTTATGTGGAACAAAGTGTACCATTTGTCACGCAAGGAAAGCAAGGAGGTGTTCTCATTATCTACTGTGTAACAAACCACCCCAAAATGTATAGCTTAAAACAACAGCTCTTTTATTTGCTCATTTTTCTGCAGTCTGGGTTGGAATTAGCCCAACCATTCTTGTTCTGTACTTGCTGTTGATGGTAGCATCAGCTGGTGGCTGGTTCAGCTGGAGTGGCTGGGCTCCCCTCTCCCTGTGACCTTTCCATATAATTTCTCCAGCAGAGTAGGCAGATTTCTTACATGTTAGCTCAGGGCTCCCAAAAGGGCAAAGTGTAAGCTGCTAGGCTTTCTTAAGGCTTAGGCCCAGACTGGTGCTTTCATTATTCACTCAATTCTATTTCTTAAAGCAAGTCAAAGGGCCAGCCCACATTCAAGAGGAGGGGACTATGCCAGGATACACTACAGTACTGCAAGCCATGGTTCACTGGATCTACCAATGAACAGAACACCACAGAAAGTTTTTTGTCTTTGGTTGGTAGTGATTTTGGTACTGGTTATTTTCACAGTATTTAGTGCTTGCTTCTGGAAAGGTAAAAGAGAAAATGGCATTGGAGGTATGACTGTAGGGTTGTAAGTGGATTATATTTTAGATGCTGGCAAATTTCTCTATCTGCTCCAAACAGAGATCCAACTCCCCCGTGGGTCAAACCAGAGAAATTCTAGCTCTATAGCCAGGGAATATCAGCTTTAATCATGCCCCCAACCACATACTAACCCTGTGATGATGGACAATTTACTTAAACTATTCAAGCCTGGGTTTGTTCAATATTGCCAAACAGGTTAGTAATCTCATAGGGTTGTTGTGAGAATTAAATTAGATAATACATATAAAACAGCATAGTTTCTGGCACATAGTAAGCTATCATTAGTATTATTATTATTCCTTATAATTTCTTTGGTCAGTTTCCATTTTTAAAAATTATTTCATAATGATAAAACTTGTTCATTATAGAAAATTTGTAAAAATTTTAAATAATACAGGAGACTATAAGAAAGCAAAAATTATCTAAAATCTCACCACCTAAAGCCAATTACCAAAATTTGTTAACCTTACTTCCAGACCTCTATATGAAATATATATATATGGATCTATAAACTTTTTTATAGAAATAGCATATATTTTTTTCTCAGATATAAGTCTTGGAGGTTGTCCTACCTCAATTAATATATATATATATTTTTAAAGATTTTATTTATTTATTTGACAGAGAGAGACACAGCGAGAGAGGGAACACAAGCAGGGGGAGAGGGAGAGGGAGAAGCAGGCTTCCCACGGAGCAGGGAGCCCGATGCGGGGCTCGATCCCAGGACCCTGAGATCATGACCTGAGCCGAAGGCAGATACTTAACGACTGAGCCACCCAGGCGCCTCTGTATTTCTATATCATCCTTTGTAATGGGAGCATAGTATTCCATTGAATGGACGCGCCATAATTTTTTAAAACTAATTTCCCTATAGGTGGGCATAGATTGGCCTATTCCTAAAATTATGGTACAATGATAAATACATCTCATTTAAAAAAATTTTTTTTTACATTAAATGAATATTGTTTAGAGACTCCACAATTTTGTGGAGATTAGTAATATATTAAACATCTGCCTCTTAGGGCTTATCTCTCTGACTTACCCTCAAATCCCCAAGAGTTTAATCTTGTAAGAGAAGTCTGTCCAACTTCAATACCCCATCAATGACAGTATAGGCGTTCAATTAGTCTATTACATCCTTTGCTTTTTGCTGCTGCTTTGTAGTAGGAAACTGATTCTGCACATTTGGTGGGTAATGCTGCTAATTCTTAAATGTTGCATAGTTGCAACCAGACCTGCTTTCAGCATCAGCCATTGCCTGGGCTGAAATCAACCTTGAGGGCATCATCCTGAACTCCCACTTTACTGAAGTTAAGGATTTCAAAGAACTTGTTACTCCACCCTGCCACTCTCCTTTGGCCGGTGCCAGCCAGACAACATCCACAGGTCTCTCTAACTTCATGTCTTAGAGAGTAATGATTGAGTATCAATTCCTTATACCCCAGAAGACCATGACTTACTTATGTAAATGTATTCAGTTCCCTCTTGGGGACTAAGTTAGTTTGTCAGAGATCTAATGGCCACCTTAATTAAGTCACAAAAGCTACACTCTAATTCCAAAACAATGACTGTTTCTCAGCCTACATTTACCTAACTGAGAGAGCTACTCAAGTGATGCTTTATATTTTTCATTTTATAAATAATGCTGTGGGGCACCTGGGTGGCTCAGTTGATTGAGCATCTGACTCTTGATTTTGGCTGGGGTCATGGTCTTGAGGTGGTGGGATTGAGCCCCGCATTGGGCTCCACACTCAACGGGGAGCCTGCTTGAGATTCTCTCTTTCCCTCTTTCTCGGCCTCTACCTCCTAACCCCCTGTGCCACACATGCACTCTTTCTCTCTAAAATAAATAAAAGAGTCGGACGCTTAACTGACTGAGCCACCCAGACACCCTAATAAATCTTTAAAAAATAATAATAATAATGGGGCGCCTGGGTGGCAAAATTGGTTAAATAGCAGATTCTTGGTTTCAGCTCAGGTTGTGATATTAGGGTCCTGGGATCGAGCCCAGTGTTAGGCTCTGCACTCAGTGTGGAAATCTGCTAAAGTTTCTCTCCCTCTCTCTCTGTCCCTCCCCCCAACCGTGCACACTCTCTGTTTCTGTCTCTCAAATAAATAAACAAATAAATCTTTAAATAATAACAATAATAGTGCTGAATTCTTTAAAGACTTGAAAAATAAATTTCAAAAATTAATACCTGGTGGAAGAACTGGATCTAAATGTACATCTGACTACTCTCCTTCCTGTTCCAAGTCTCATAAAAGAGTATATTAATTTAAAAAACAATAAATTCCAAATAGGACTGAACACCCAGAAATAGTGCCATTGACAGACCAGAAACTTTGAGGATACTCTGAAAAAACAGGACACAAATAGGAATAACAACTGAAATGCCAAGAGATTTTTATAGGAAACTACAGATGATTTTGAAATATATCTGGAAAACAAAATGTGCAAGAACAGCTAATTTTTCCAGTTGGAAAAAAAATTATACCACACATAAAATAAAGCCCATATGGATAATAAACAAAATAATTATGAAAACAAAATCAACTATAGAAGCGTTAGAAGAATGTAGAAGAATGTTTTTTATAAAAAGAATAGGGAAGGTCTCCTAAAGACACAAAACTCAAAAACCATAAGGGAAATGATTGCTAAATTTGATTATATAAAAATTTAAAAATTCAATATAATAAAAAATACTGCAGATAATTGACAACGAGCAGGGAGAAAATATTTGCAATATATATAACAAAGTTATTATCCAAGGTACATTCTCAAACAATGTCAAATCAATAATAATCCAATGTTAAAATGAACAATGGATATGAAAAAGAAATTCACAAGAGTATATATAGTAAACCAATGAATATATACGAAAAAAGGCTCAAATGCATAAGTAATCATAGAAAGGCATAGTTAAATAACTATACCATTTGTAACACATCATATTAATAAAAATAAAAAATATTGATAAGGATGCCTGGATGGCTCAGTCTGTTGAGCTTCTGCTTTTGGCTCAGGTCATGGCCCCAGGGTCCTGGGATCAAGTCCCACATCGGGCTCCCTGCTTGGCTGGGAACCTGCTTCTGCCTCTCCCTCTGCCTGCCACTCCCCCTGCTTGTGCTGTCTCTTGCTCTCTCTCTGACAAATAAGTAAATAGAATCCTTTAAAAATATGTTGATAATGTCCAATTATGGCAAAGGTTAGTTGTTAGTTAGCTTTTGCTGTGTAACAAGCCATCCTAAAACTTAGTGGCTTAAAACAACAGCATTAATTATCACTCACAATTCTGTACATCAGCTGGGCAGTTATTCTGGTTCACTGATCTCTGCAGTTTGCTGGAGGTTAAGCTGGGGCTTGGATGGTCTAGGATGACCTTATTCACAGGCCTGGCAGTTGGCAGGCTGGTTGGTCTAGGGTCAGGGTCAGCAAACTACTCCCACTGGGCCAAACCTGGCCACACCTATCTAAGTTACATATTGTTTATGGCTGTTCTCACAACACGGCAACAAAGCTGAGTCGTTGCAAGAGAGGCCACATAGCCCAAAAGCTGAAAATATTTACCATGTGGCCCTTTACAGAAAGTCTGCCA